AGAATTTGACAATTATTCTGAATATTATCTTTGTAACGTAGTTTGGTGGAGAGTAGTCAATACTACTTATTATTATTTCTAATTATTTTGATATATATATACTTATATTTTATTACAAAAATAACAAAAAAAAGAGATTATATACATTACAAATTTAAAAACCAAAACCTGACATTCTATTTCTATTATTATTATTTTCCTCTCTTCTTCTTTCCTCCGCCCTTAACCTTCTTAATTCCTCCTCATCATTTGCTAACCTTGCCCTTAACCTATTTCTTTCTTCCAATAACTGAGTATACTGTTGCTCCAATATCCACCATCTTGCACCCTTGTGACCACATTTGCCCTCAACTCTTCTAACTCTGTCTCCAAACTCTGAATTCTTCTTCTTTGAAAGGCCACCAACCACATTAAGCTATAAGAAATTTTATTAGCTTTATACAAAAAAAAATAAAGAAGAAGAAGAAAAGAAATTTTGCATTAAATATTTACCGTCTATTTTCATTTTGGACTACCTCTAAGGCCTCATATAGGGCATTGTTGCCATGAAGGTGAGCACGACAAATATTTCTGGGAAGACTGTAATGAGGCATTTTATTATAATTGTTATTGTTGGAGTTGTTGTTGTTGATGTTGAGAAGTTGAATTTTTTTTACAAAAAAAAAAAAAAAAAGAGAAGCGAGAAAAGAACTATAATCTTTAATGAATAATGACGAAACAAAATTGGAAAGTAATCAGAAATTGATTTATCAAATCTGGAAATCAATTAGAAATTAACTTAACAAATGTAGAATAGTAGAAATTTGTAAATCACATGATTGCAAATCACATAAAATTCTGTAATTTTATTGGACACTTGAAGTATCCTAATGATCTCCAAAAAGAGTACAAAATTGAAATTTAGTAATATTTCTGGTATAGATTAATAGTGTAAGGTGTATTACTAGACAGTATAGATCATACGTTCAAGACTGGCTAGGGTAAGCTTTCTGCTAGAATCCAAGTTTTGTAAGGCTCTTTGTTAAAATACTAGAAACAGAATTTTTTTTAAATACTGTACAATATCAAAAAAACTCAGATTCAACAAAAATTCTATTAGGACAAAAAGCACAAAAAGATCAAACCAATCTTTAAAAAAGAAGATCAGCGAGAATCTTATTGAAATCATTAGTCATTGTAAAAGAGTATTATTTTCATTGACAAGAGATATTGATTGATTCATAACAATCATAGGGTTCCACAAATGTCTATCATGATATCTTTTTAGTAGCAGAGTATTAATTGGTGTTTCTAAAATATTGCCATTCAAGGTTTGCAATATATAGCAACTTTCTTATATACAAAGTAAGGTCCTTTCTATTTGGGTAATAGTTTGCCAGAATAATGCTTATCTCTTATAGCATCATATAAAGAACTTGATCTTCTTTTTTAAAGATTGGTTTGATCTTTTTGTGCTTTTTGTCCTAATAGAATTTTTGTTGAATCTGAGTTTTTTTGATATTGTACAGTATTTAAAAAAAATTCTGTTTCTAGTATTTTAACAAAGAGCCTTACAAAACTTGGATTCTAGCAGAAAGCTTACCCTAGCCAGTCTTGAACGTATGATCTATACTGTCTAGTAATACACCTTACACTATTAATCTATACCAGAAATATTACTAAATTTCAATTTTGTACTCTTTTTGGAGATCATTAGGATACTTCAAGTGTCCAATAAAATTACAGAATTTTATGTGATTTGCAATCATGTGATTTACAAATTTCTACTATTCTACATTTGTTAAGTTAATTTCTAATTGATTTCCAGATTTGATAAATCAATTTCTGATTACTTTCCAATTTTGTTTCGTCATTATTCATTAAAGATTATAGTTCTTTTCTCGCTTCTCTTTTTTTTTTTTTTTTTGTAAAAAAAATTCAACTTCTCAACATCAACAACAACAACTCCAACAATAACAATTATAATAAAATGCCTCATTACAGTCTTCCCAGAAATATTTGTCGTGCTCACCTTCATGGCAACAATGCCCTATATGAGGCCTTAGAGGTAGTCCAAAATGAAAATAGACGGTAAATATTTAATGCAAAATTTCTTTTCTTCTTCTTCTTTATTTTTTTTTGTATAAAGCTAATAAAATTTCTTATAGCTTAATGTGGTTGGTGGCCTTTCAAAGAAGAAGAATTCAGAGTTTGGAGACAGAGTTAGAAGAGTTGAGGGCAAATGTGGTCACAAGGGTGCAAGATGGTGGATATTGGAGCAACAGTATACTCAGTTATTGGAAGAAAGAAATAGGTTAAGGGCAAGGTTAGCAAATGATGAGGAGGAATTAAGAAGGTTAAGGGCGGAGGAAAGAAGAAGAGAGGAAAATAATAATAATAGAAATAGAATGTCAGGTTTTGGTTTTTAAATTTGTAATGTATATAATCTCTTTTTTTTGTTATTTTTGTAATAAAATATAAGTATATATATATCAAAATAATTAGAAATAATAATAAGTAGTATTGACTACTCTCCACCAAACTACGTTACAAAGATAATATTCAGAATAATTGTCAAATTCT